TTCTCTGGACGAAATGGTCCCATCTAACTACAAAAAGAAAAAGGAAAAGCACCCTAACACTGCTTAGACTATAGTCACCTTTGACGCCAAAAGTATAAGAACGTATATTCTCTACATCGGACAACAACGCTGTCGCAAATAGAGTAAGGGTCGTTGATAAAACCAGAAATCATTTCCGCCATCGTTTCGAAATTGATCAAGGCGCTAAAACCGGAACACCTCTAGAGCACTGATAAATCATACTGAAAAGCATAGAAAAAAGAACTTCATAAATCATGTTGAAGAAAACAGCGATTTAGGATGCTTGGTCTGAGTCCACGATTTCGATTACTGTAGTATTATTCTAGCATTATTCAATGATTCACCTTATAGTGAACATAGTGAACAAACCTTGTAAAAGTCAACGATTTTCGACATAATTGCTCTCATCGGTTTACTAGTTGCTTTACGATTCATTGCACATATTCCAATTCGAATCTATAAAGACTCCATTTGTTATCCCAAACTAATCGAATAAGATAGAAAATGTATCCAATATTACTCACTTTTTTCCCCTGTGATCCACTTTGATACTCCGACGTTTCTTCGCCGGGGGGCGGAGGACATGGGATACTCATATCGAGAAAAAATTACCGATTCACTAAAAACATTTCAAAACTTTAGATTGACTGAAAATACTATGAAACCATTACTGCAAGAACGAGAACGGAACACAAGAGCTTTCAGTGATTATATCACATAAGTGCGAACAAAGATATCATCTACAGAATACAAATTAGTAAGCAAAGAAGTCATAGAAACGTCTGGTTGATTTTAAAAAAGTAAATTACTTAGTTGCTTGAAGAATTAGCTTGCTTGTCAAAATGGAAAATTTTTTTGACCGCTAGTTTCTTACAAACTTCACTCATATATAGTCATTGAGAATGTTTTTAGCCGTCAGGAATTAAATCAGGAAATTTAACATCCTTAAGTAGCGGAATACTGATGGCAACAGAAAAGACAAAGACCAATTAGTTAAGATGATGTGAAGAGAAGACAAAGATCAAGTTAGCTGAAAATGTCGTGAACAAACATCTCAACGAACTTTCGACTTCAATGAGAAACGCAAATTCGAGATGTTGTTCAAACATCTGAAGTGGTATGATCGGAATGAATAACATGATCAGAAGACGAGATGTAAGAACGAAGAACGATGACCATCAGAAGATAAGCAACCAGTGATCTTCACGTGAATTCGCTCAGTCGGACTCACTAATTGCGATTTAGGTCGTTCCGAGGTCGTCTGGAATGATTACACAACGTGAGGTAGAGGAGGATGACGCGGTGGTCGTGGTCCCCATCGTTTCAACTGCGAGCAGCGAGTCGTTCGTAAACATGCAGCAGGCAAGCAAGCAATTCACGCGTGTCTTCTCAATTCAAGAGACTTTGAATCAATAACTTACTTCTTTCATTCCCATCGTTTTTCGTCGTTTTCTTTTTCATATGCATTCCATTGAGTTCAAAGAACAGAATCTCAATCTGCTCAGATATGGAACACTGGGAAAGAAAAAATGTACTGCTATATAGGCTGTGAAGGTGTGCAAAGAAATCTACAATCGTTCCTAACCATTGAGTATCTAGACCTTGAAAATCAAGTACGAACCAGCATCACTTGAGAAAGCATCTTGAGAGCAATCGATTCGATCAAAACTCCAACTAGATCCTGGGGATGCGAAACAAAAAAAAAAGTCTAGATCTCGTCTTTGACAAATGTTGCACAAAACAGGTTTGACAGATCGACCGCTCGTTCCTTAAAAAAACTTTGACTGGTAGTGTCGTGGAATACAAATTAGTCGGCGGTTTACCACTACAACAGATAACTCACGTCCCGGTTCCCATCCGTCTAGTGCCCGAATTTGCCATTCAAGTATAGTCTAGATTCTCTTGAGAGCAATCGATTTAATCGAAACTCCAGTTGATCCTGGGCTTGCTCTGATTCAGAAATACTGGTCACTGCTACTGCAACGGAGATCTGGGACATTCCAGCATATTTTTCACGAAATTCTACAGGTATTTTCAGCGTGACCATAGGACTCAATAACATTCACGAAGAATCGAAAGTCGTCAAGTGGCAGCCGTACTCAAACGCAAATCTAGAAACTTCTATAGATGGATGGAGGCGATATGACGAACTCAACTTAGAGTGCTAAAATCCCCACAAAAACATTTATTAATTTTGATGATGATTCCGATGACTGCCTACGGAAAACATATTATTGTGAACTAAATTATCGCTGATTTCGAAACATATTGTGATTGGTAAAATATCGCTGTGAAGGACGTAATTCACTGCAATTCATTCCATTCGTAGACATAACGAGAAAGTCAATAACAATCGCCGAGTCATGAGGGGGAGTCGAAGCCGACGAGGCGGAAAACTGATAATTCTAACCACACCACCCAATGACGAAAACAAGACCAGAAGTGAAGAAACGAGAAACTTCAAATATTGCCTCGAGTTTAGAATCTTACTTCGCGACTCAGATTGCCGTTAGACCAGAAAACATTCTGAGAAAAACAAGTTAGGTAGAAAAGCGAATGGTAGCAGCTGTGAGATCACACCTCCATCGTCATCAACAACAGATTGTAGGGGTAATTCCCAGGACCGACTGTCAATTAACCTCGGCATAGTAGGAATAGATTTGTAGTATTGCTGTTCAGCAGTTGTGAGGTATTAAATATAGTATTTATTCAATATTAGATGCAATAGCATACAGTCAAGTAATGTAACATATATAGTACAATCGTGGTGGCTTACTTTCGGTGAGATTCGCCATCTTCAGAGCCTGGAAAGGTGTCAGATTGATTCGCAAATCATTCATTGAAAAGCCTCCATAACATCAGCAAAAAACGTAAGAAACGAATTTCTGGATTGCATAGTAAAAATTTCGTTACAAAAACACAGCCACTGGTTAAATGTTTTAAGTCTTTCGATTATTCGTTGAAGACCTACCACTTAGAGCCACTGCGTAGGTGAGACAATGCTTGACTCAGGCCTGGAAGATTAGCCTGAGGTATGGTGCGAGGTCACGCGATATTACGTGTCGCTCCTCTATGCGGTTCATTTCTGGGCCTCTACGTTTTCTGCTGAGGTTATGGAGGCTTTTGACTGTATGATTTGCGAATCAATTTGACCATTTCAAGCTCTGAGATGGCGAATTTCGCCAAAACGTAATGGGATTAGCAGCGCGATAGGACTGTTCAGTATGAAGAAAACCGTTAAGCTTTAGAGAAAACAAGTCATGACTGAGGTGAGTCATCTAACTGACGAATGGAATTTTTCTGCAACAACAGAAGAAAACCAAATTAACGAAGTAATCTTGAAAAAAACATAATCAGTGTAACTTAGAAAGCGCACTACCAAATGCCTTCGACTGATTTACTGTTGAGTTAAAGAAACAATTAAGCTTCTTTTCATGAAGAAATACAAAATCTTCTGAAAGTGTTTAGACCGGTGAATATTCTCGTAGATGAAAGTGAAATACATAAGCATCACAAACAGTCGTCTGCGAAAAAACAGGACTCAAAGAAAATTTGCAAGCAAACTGAAAGTCCAGTATAGTGTAAAGTAGCTAAGTGGTCCCAACAAACTATTAACGTGAATACTTGATCAATTTTTTTCCCGTGCAAAACTTTGTGCTGCAACATTTTCTGCTCTCATACAAACTTGTTCCCTTGTTATTAGATTAGAAAGTTCTGGGACACTTGTGAAAATTTAAAATATGTGCATGATTTCCAAACAAAAACATTCATAGCTATTCTTCGAAATAAAGGCCATAGTTTTCTACGACTTTCTGTCATCGGCCCGCCAAGTTTCGGATCTAGCCAATGTATTATTCCTTAAATCAGTAGATTTTCGATAAGTTAGCGAGAGATTTCGACTCTTTTGGCGGATTGTGCTTCAGTGAGTCGGTGCCGATCTTGTCGCGGCGTCTTGTGGACAAAGTTGAGCTGGTGGAGTTAAGTTAAAGCAATTGTATGAGAAACATCAAGTTCGGTTGTCAATTCGTGAGCACTCGACGACGCTTCATCTTCCAAAACAGCAGTCAAATCCTTGTTGCTCAACTATGCTGCACGTCCTGAACAAGGCTTGTGATCGAGTTCAAGATCTCTTGCATTGTGAACTGCTGAAACTAGCGTTCAGCAGCTTGTTTAGCCTTCCCCTTCAATTTCGTTGATTTTATCGACTGCAGCTCGCTGTGAAAGACCCTTTGTCCAGTAATGACGCAATAAAACACGAACTTCGATTTTATCGCTGAACGTGGCGAAGACTAGTTACAATTTGAGAATAAAGACGAATAGTATCTAGGCTTTTGGTGGGAAAATCGTAAATAAGAAACTATAATATTCCCATGATATGCATGGGAGTTATCCGAATCCGTAAGAATTAAGGGACTGATAAGAATCGGAACGAGCTCGAAACAGCGACATGCGCACAACAATACACACTCGATTACTGCACTATAAACTTTCGAGTAAATTTTTGTTAACTGATACTAACTGGATGTAAACATCACAAAGATTGCACTAGCTTCACGTTTACGATCAATAGGAACTAAGAACAATCTTTTGGCTGGATGTGATGAAACTCAAGATTACTTGTTCCCATCAAAGGGCTCACTCTCTTACAAGATAAACTTCGCTTGCAAATCGTACTTTGATCAACAAGCAAGCAAATCGTTGGATTGAAGGACCTCATGTAAAAATACTGATATGACTAGCTGATCATAGATAAAGATTCACAAGAAAGTGCTCTGAATGACCTTGAAAGTCCAAAATAGCGAGCCACCACAGTTCATCTCGTCCGTTGCCAAATTTTACAATGCTATAAACATTTCAGAAGATATTATATACTTACAACATTTCGCTATGTTTTTTGTTCAATTCTAGAAAGCCAAATCATTTCTGGTCAACTACGTATCCAATAAACCCAATGATGTAGAGTGGTGTGCAAAGACGTTTGCGTCAGCCGGGATTCGAACCCAGATCTTAGTCTTTCCGGAAGCATGTGCTAAACCGTTGCACCACCGACGCTCGTTTTGCACTTCACTCTTTCTACGCTACAACGCGTTATCTGTCAACAGCCAACCGTCTACGGTGTGGCGAGGCAGTCACTATCAACATTGAACCCACTTTTATTGACAGACATTGAGTTTGAATAATCAATCGAAAATCATTTTACTTGACCGCCTATTGCGGTGTTACCGGTCACTACGTATTGAAATCAAGGCAAATCTTAATGGCTGAGCGGCAAACAGCACCGTCCACCAAAATGACATCCGTACCAACAAACATCTATCCAACCGATTAGAAACGTGTTTCAAACATATCAAAAACGATTCAGTCAAAAACGGGAAGCTATAATGACGAATCTATTCAGGGTTACGAACAAAATGAAACCTCAGCCACTTTCTGGTGGGTTTCGTACAGTATGAACCGCATTAATATCTGACTTCACCCCGCAGCAATAAAATCCTCTTCATTGCAGACGTTTATTGACTATAAAATTCGACGAGTTTTCCAATTTTACGACAGTGACAAAGTCTTTCAGACTGTGCTTATTTTTACATTTACGGCATATAGTTTCACGTATACTGTGATTAAAAACTATTGAGAAAAATTAGCAACACGACTAACGAAAAATAAAATGCTAATTTTTATTTCAATCATTTTCAAAGTTGCAATTTTGGACAAAAATGTGAAGAAGAGAAGCGTTTCAGACGCAAACATCAACAATATATGATGGACACAGCACCCTGTTCTGTCATACCAAAATCTCGTTAGTTCGATCATCGTTTCGCTATTCCCAACTAATCATCGACGACTATGAAAGCGGTGGAAAGAATTATTCATGAACCACTTTGACTATGTTTATAAAGACTTTTAAACACTATATTGTTGTTAAAGTTCAACATGAACGACATAAGACCACTGAAATTTGAAAAATTTAACAATTCTTGCCCATAAATGAGTGATACGCATGTCACAAATAGTAATACTTGTTTGAAAAGATTCCTTATTTCATCACAATTTGTCTCTTACTTCATCACAATTTGTCTGTTTCATCTAGTAATTTAATGATACGCGACGGTGTCTTACGAATGTGAATTGACTTATGAGCGGTCAGATGTTCAGATTTTTCTTACATATTCTCTGATGATGAATACTGGATGCTTTTCGCGAAAAACAGCCGTGCTCATGAATCATGACGCTTCATTAGAGTATGATAAATGTGGGAACATTCAGGTGACGTGTTGGTGTTTCTTCTTCAAAAAAAAAAACAAACGATGACTGCGCTTTTGATTAATCAGAGCGATGTGCGATTTCCGAACATTTCATTTTGCTTCATACCGGAAGACGATTCAAAAAATTCATAGGAATTGAACTAAAACAAAAACCTTCAAATGTTTACTCGAAAAGAATCCAGTTTCAGTAATATTGATGACTGTTTCGAAGTTTGCAATGGATTCATGCACAAAGAAACCAATATTAGGATTTCTAAATCGTTTACGAAAAGGAAATAATCGCAAAGATGTACTCGAAAAAATAGTAAAGACGATTTTATATCGTAGATATTTGAAACTCACTTGATAAATACTAGCAATACTCTTCTTTTTCTAATGAACTATGATTCTAAACAGCAAATCACCAGACCAAAATAAATGATTTAAAAGTTCCCAAACGTTACAACTAGAACAGCTGATAGACTGTCGATATTTACCTAACACTTTTTATTTTGATCAATAACTTCCTGCTCAAATTATTTCACATGTCCTTCATATTGATGTGGAAATAAAACCTTAGATATCTTGAATCGGAAGTTGAATAATAAATTACTCGAAAACAAGAAGATCTAACTTAAGATGCAAACGACTAAGCTAAAGCACAAAACGAATTCCTGGAGGACTAGTATTACATCGGAACATAGAGATTTACGTCATGAATGAAGCAGCTCCCAAAACGAAAAAAAGTTCCATCCCGTGAATGTTCGTTCCGGTACATCCAGATGTTTTCGGCATTTTTTTAAACTTTTTATAACACTAACTGCACTAAGACATTCGTCGTGACGATAAGTTTTCCGACCGCCTCCGATAACTTCTCGGTAAACTCTGCACATAAAGAATACAGAAGGCGATGAATCGTAAAGGACACTTTGTTCTGTCCCTTCTTCAGAACATGGATGGAAGTTTTCCTTCTAGAATTTTGTCCCCATTCCAGATCTATTTATCAGAATTTACAAAACAGTGGATAACTGGGCCGTAAACGTCGACAGTGCACAATGAAATCGTTGCAATCCGCTGAACGAAATTCCGATTTCGTAATTGCTTTTCATTCTATGATATGAATCTCAACGGTGATAAAAAGCAATGAAAAGGAAAAGATGTTAAAACCCAAAAAGCATGTGCTGCTGATGAGGCTTGACAGGAAAGCCGAAACGCACGTCTAGCACTATAGGTTCCATAACAGACCTCATGAAGGACTCAATATATACTATGATTATATTGTTTTGAGCGAAGTCTCAAAAACAGTCGAATAGAAAGGTATTGCTATATTTGTTTCATCAGAGATCAAGCAAACGACTGCCACTGCAATGTCAGGTGATCTTTTCACCTGGCGCGCGGCGTAGAATGTTCAGCGCCTTTTCTGATATGTAGGAGCACAGCTAGAAGCGAAAGGTATGTGCTACTGATGAGGCTTGACATGAAAGTCGAAACGTACATCTAGCACTACAGGTTCTATATCAAATCTCATTAGAAGCTCAAATGTACCTACTTCACGTTTATGAGCGAGGCACTCAAATCGTCGAATAGCAAGGAAGATGATGATTTTTGACTAGATAAAATAACATATTCGTCCAGTAGATTAAAAGAGCTTCATCTTGCTGTCAAACGTTTTTACACTCTAACTGCTCTTCCATCTATCTCCTCTATCACAGCTTCACATCTTAGTTCTTATTAAATTTTATTTTTTTGCAATAAAAACCATTAGAACCTAAAGATGTTGGCCCTATAAGCGGAAAGTCATCTTTAACAAGAGTAATATCTGATTGTTTCTTGCCTTATGCTTGTTTTTTTTTTTCTGTTTGGATAAACGCGTTAGTGTACACGAATGCATCGCCTTCATTCGTAGCTTCCGTTTTCATATAAAAAAACAGTGATCGGAGTTTCCCTTCGGTTTTTTGGACATGAATTCGCATCAAAGCTATGATAATACGACACTTGCAGAAAAAGCACATCAACAGAACGAACAGAGATGACAAATCCAGATTCAGTGCACACTTGTAAATTCCTATTTAGCCAAAGATGACTCCTCTTCACCACCAGCAAGAAACACGCTCCAGCTTATACTATCCTTGGAGACTGAATTCACACAAAAGTAAGATAATTACATTGAGCATTCGATTCCCATAGGATGCATGTGACACAGTGATAAGAGGTGTCCTCCTTTACATCCACGTAAGTTAGCTTGATCCCAATAGCCGTAGTCCCAAACGTATCCTCCTATCGCTGAATCGATAACTGGTATTAGACTTGTCTGAGAGAGAAAAAACACTGGCTTGATACAAATTCGTCAGCCCCCCTATCCCAAAATGCGAACAACCTTATTATCATTCAAATCCCACGAAAGTTGACCAAGAATGCGTGATGGTATGAAATGTACGTAAACGACATTTAGGTGCACATGCTGACCTTCCAGGTCTTGAAGGACAATACTCACCCATTCAATGTTGTGCAGAGTGTATATGTACGTGTGTATGCGCGACTTGGTGTGTCTGGTTTGCATACCGGGTTCAAACAAGCCACATTCTAATGATCAGAAAACACGTAAGCACATTCTGTAGTCAATACATCCTCGAAATAAGCTTCATCATCACATGAAACGCCTCCTCCAAGTATGAATTCATTGTCGTTATATAAAATTGGTATTGCAATCCATGGGAATGCTCTTCCTTTCCATGAAAATCGATCAAAATTGTGTTTTTGTATTCCAAAGCAGTCTTCAACAGAACACTATTCGCTATTGGGATAAACAGTAAATAAGGTCAACATCTCAGAAAACAAGGAACTATATTTCTAAAACTAAGCAAGCATATACTATATTTCTAAAACTGAGCTGAAAATGAAGGTTCATAATTCGAATGTGCCAAAGTTAACACAACAAAACTTCGCAAAAATTCTCAAAATACAACGAACGATCAGACACACCAATAGCCGAAGAGTCCAAAACATTTTGCGGGAACGTAAAGAAATTTGCATCGCTCAGTGAGCAACGAGTAAGTAATTAAAGAACCAAAGCTCTGAAGTCATAGCGACAGGGATCGATTCCATGCATTATGGAGGTTATGACCGCTGACAAGATTGACAAAGAAAAAAAAAAGATGGTCCTGCGTAATATCTCTAACAGAATAGTGACAAACATTCATAAAAGCTCTCTTCCCCAGCCATATTCAAACTGATACATGAACGTGGAGCTGCATAGCTCTCGGACAAAATGTCCGAGCAACGCAATATTGTACAAAGAAGTAGTAGAGTGATAATAGGAGAACAAATAGCGATGATGTTTACAGGAACCTAGGTACTCGGAAAGATGTAATGCTTCCTATATTCACTTATGAAAATTTCCGGTAAAATGTGTGTCGTTTTCTTCATTAACTTACTATTTTGTCGAGTTCTAGAGTTCAAGTAAACAGGGCGGCTGTTACCGTTGGTTACACAAATGCGCTGAAAATTCAACGAGAAGTTGTCAGAGACCGACTTCAATGAAACTCCACAAGAATAATAATTTATCTCTTATTATTTCGCATTGCACCAACAACGATATTTCATCTTTCAATAGCTGAAAAAACCCTGTGCAGCAGTGGTATCGAAAGTCGCTCACTCAATAAAGCCATTTGCATTATTGTAGCGACCTTCCTTAACCAACAATGTTCTCAACATGAACTGACATCCATTTAGTGACTTCGACTAAAAATGCAGTAAGAACAGCAGACAACTGCTTCCTGGTATGATAGAAAGAAAAAACCTTACTAGTAC